GATACTCAACAGCTGAGCCGCCTCCTATAGCGGACCACTGTTCCTCTTGAGCACCAGTAACAGCGAAGTCGGACCTTATTGATCTCTTCCAGGTCATTAAAGTCCGACTTGATGTCGCTGTACGGGCGAGTCTGGGAGGGAGTACGCCACGACTGACAGTGTAACCGTTAAAGACCCTCCCACTGCTGTGTGCGACACGTATTGTCGTTTCCGCCGCGGACGCTGGGGTCAGCCCGTTTTCCACCAACTGTTGTCGCCTACATTCATAGAGAACGGGCTAGCGCTGCGTCAAATCCAGCTCCCCTTTTCTGGCACACCCCATCGTCTGCAGCGAAAACGACTACAACTGGTGCTTCCCCGGTCGGCCAATTAGATAGGAGGTATGTCTAGACGTGGACCCATATAGAGAAAGCGCAGCATACACTGAAAAAGGAGGCTTTAGTGACGGCCTTCGGAATTTGATGGAACCAAAAGAGAAGGACTTTCGAGGGTAGGGTTCCACGTGCTTTGTTCAGAGGTCTTCGATTTGTCCTTCATGTTGAAAGAACTTTGATCGGGGAAGGGGATGGCTGCTAGTCACGTAGAAGACGCTCATTTCTTGCATTATCGTCTACTATTTTCAGTACCCATTCCAAAAACTTCAGTGTCCTTGCAACACAAACAACGTTATGTTCTTGTCCAACAACCAGGGCAACTTATTCAGCAACCAGCACAACAGGTGAGGATAGCTCGCTTTTCACTTGTTTGGCCGTTAGGTCCACTAGGTGTCAGGTAGTGATGGGACTGCTGGAGGAAGGGCTAAAGAAGTCGAAAATCACACAAAAGTGTCCTACAAAACGCGTGACATCGCTGGATGAGAGTGTGGCGTTTATTCCCGCCACACGTCGCGCAAGATGACAGCTAGCCGTGAGCGGCAAAATTGCGCGGCAACTGGACGTTACGGAATCGCCGCGCAGTTTTGTCGCGAAAAGTCGCGCGCGGCGAGCGGCCAGTTGGCACGCGGCCAAACAAACGCATGCAACTAGCACATTCATCATTTATTCTCTATCTTTTAGTTCCTTAGCACTTCTTTTCACTCCGAGCTTATTTGATGCAGGTGTTACTTCTTTAAATGCGCTCCACCTCAGCGTGCTCTATCAGTGCGTTCATACTTCGTGATCCGACCGCGCGATGCAAGCGATTGGATTGCGAGTTATGGACGTGCTACATGGCCTCCCCACATTCAAAATGTGCTCATCTAGTACATCAATCAATGAACGTTTTATGTTTTCAGTACGTGCGAAAAGGTCTATTCTACATGCACTATCCGTACTACAGACTCCCACGGGAGTATGTCTTACGAACTCGAACTGAATTCGCATATCCTCCACAGTACCAACACGTCCAGTACACCTATCATCAGCCGTTACCGTACAAAGGGTGAGTTCGAGTACAAAGAGGTCACTATAGTGTTCCTGCATAGTTCCAGATATTGGTGTTATTTAGAAATTATTTCATATCAGTGAGCAGGAAATTGAATAAAATTTAGCAAAATAAGGCTTATTAATGAGTTATTAGGATATCGCATCCACCACTGATCGTTGGACCGTTTCATTTCATCGCCAGTCTGGATAAGGCTGCGTTCATACTCAGCAGCACCCACCAGCGACTAGGGGCGTCCACCAGCGACCACGAGCGTCCGGCAGCGTCAGCGACTAGCAAAGTATAGCTACCCATTCAGGCGACCTAGCGGCGTGTACCAGCGTCCACCTCCAGCAACACAGCGTCTAGAAGTGAGATTAATGGGCGGCAGAGGTAGTAAACAGCGTGAACGCCTTTGATCGTCCACTCTGACACGCTGCTGATCGCCTAGGTCGCTAATATACTTCAGCCCTCGCAGCTGCCGGTTGATATATTCTCTATGTCGCTGACGCTGCCGGACGCTTAAGTAGCGCTGTGGTGCTGCCCGCGAAGCATGAAGCGGCTTAAGAGTTTTAAATAGACTTCGCAAGCGGTCGCAACATAATTAACGGTGGAGCGCGTCAATAGCGTCATGCTGACTGTGTGTAATCATTGAATTAGAGTCGCAAAGTATGAACAAGGGATAGAGGGGGTAGCTGAAGGCGTCCAGCCTTAGGTAGATTCCACACCAAATTGTTACAAGTGCTCATACATTCCATCTTATGTTTGCAATTTCAGACTATTACAATATCTATCGCAGCGATCCTCGATTTAATCCGTATATAACGGCCGGATGCGGTGGAGGCTGTGGTGGAGGAGGTACGGTATTTTATTGGAATTATTCACATTACTATGACATCTGACAAAGAGCGAAAACTAAGCAGTTATTGATTTTGACTTAAGTTGATATGGCTGGAATCTGTCAACTTTGGAATTTGCCCATGCATTAAACTGTTCCCTGGATTCTTAGGAGCTCTGCTGAGGGCGATAGGCCGTTCAACGACAGTATGTAGTTATCGTAAAAAAGACCTCGCAAAAGGTGGGCGGTCAGATGAAACAGCGTCCCAGGGGGGGTACAATTCGAATACAATCAATTTTCATCCATTGGGTATGTGACATTTCTATCGCTTACCAGTGGCGTGAATGCTCATAGAAACCAGCAGAGCGGGCGTTTGCCGGGACGGCGGTGGGGAACTGACTTTCCAGCGCATGATTTTCCTAGGCTCAGTGCCTCACCAATAGTCACCAATAGTATTACTAACCCTCATTACCGTTTATAGTCGTATATTTCCAATGAGGAAAAGTGGAAAGATTGAGGATTTGGGATAGAGAAAAGCCAAGGTCAATTTTTCCAGGATGTGGAGGCGGAGGCGGATGCGGATGCAATGGTGGAGGCTGTGGTGGTGCTGGTGGTGGATGCGACGGTGGTGGAGGATGTGATGGTGAATATGGTGGCGATGATGAATATGAAGAATCTACATCTTCCGAAGACGAAGAGGATGAGGAGAACGGTCATCGACGATCAGGTTTGTGACTCAGTGCAATCCCTGGAAATAGCCAAGCCAAAGTGAGCTCGATTTCAGGAGAAGCTCGAGTCAACAAGAAGGACCCTCTCGCCGACATCGATTTGGAAACGCTGGAGGAACTCGGAAAATGTAAGTCAGCAGTATTTTCCAGGGACCAAGAAGAAGAAAATGAGGGTGTCGGCCGGGAGGTCCACGTTGTGGTGCCCAGCAAAACGATTTCCGGGGTAGAAGCCGCCCCTGCATATAAGCCGCCGTTTTGCTCTGAGCGCTGCCAATGTATTGCGAACAGGGCATTTCCTGCCGTTGGGGGAGAATTTTCGCAAAGCACTGCCTCTCTTAAAGGTTCTCTCTAGCAAGTACCCTTTCTCTTTCTCCCATCCCTCTCCCGTCCTACCTGTCATCCTGCCAAGTTCCTATTTTCCTACATTCTCCCAGCTCCCTACCTTTTTCCCGTCATTTTCCGAGCCGTCGAGCGGAAGATGGGAAGGGGCGAGTGGGTTTTAGCGAACCGTGCCTGGAACAGGAAAAAAATCCTACGACCAAAGACATTTTCTCGGAGGGAAACCTTTTTCTCTTCAGTCCAAGTATTCCCACCCCCTCCTTGGGGTCCTCAACGTGGGGCGTTCCTTTCCGCGAATGGTTGAAAATTGGGTATCGAGCAGCCATAAGCCTTCTCGCCACTATCC